GGGGAAGGTCTTAAAGGTCTTAAAATGAGAATTACATCCCATATAAGCAAACCTACCATAAAGAGCCTTTGCACTTGTTTTTGAACTATGTTCTCTATCCATCTGAGAAAAGGTCGGTGATCCGTAGCCACTGTAATAAAAAAAAAAAAAAGGCCATTGTAATAGATCAAAGTCCAAAGTAAGCAGGTAAAATTCACAACTATAAATAAAAATTCCAAAGCACCTACATCACAATCCCATAAATTGCTAGAAAATGAAATTCAAAATACATAGAGAAAGACTTTGTACATTATGCTGAAGAATTTATTTCTTATCCTCTGAGTACTGAAAATAGACTAGGAAATGACATGATCTGAAAAAATTTCAAAGATGATCCATAAGCTAATGGCAAGGTAATGTAAAAATTCAGGAAGGAGCTAAAGGTCACAAATATTAGAAAGAACAGAAGGCAGGGAGGAGGGGGGAAAAGGTTCTTTAACAGAAAAATTAATATAAATGAATGAACCAATGAATATTTGTTTTAAGAAAAAATAAAGAACTGAGGATATAGTCAAATTTTTCTGGCTTGAATAACTAATGGACAAGACTGAGATGGCACCTAATATTCTTCCCTGTTGGCTATTAATGACCAACACTGAAGAAATTTGTGAAAATCTTAGAAAGAGAAAACAAACCATAACTCTTTATAATGGGAATAATCTGGTTCTGAAAATGACTGGAAAACTAACACATCACAACTGTCAATACAGAATAGCAACAACATTAACTACAATATTTAAGGTGATGCCCACTTAAATCAGGATTGTGATTTCAAGTTAAACTCAGAGACTTGGGAATTGTTTTGTTTGTTTGCCTTGTCATCTTTTTTCTTTCTTTCTTTTTTAACACAAGGGTAAGTAACTTGGTAATTTAGAAAAAATGGTATTTATTAACTACTGAAATGCTGATATATTATAACTAAAAATAATAGGATACTACAGAGAAACAGAAAGATCTGACGTAGAGTATATAAGCAGTTTGGGAAAAGTACTAACATGCAAAATATTAGAATGAAACCTTTTTCAACAATAAAATCATTATCACTAGGGTTTATATTTACTTGATTATCTTATTCTTACCAGACACAGTAAATTTGTAATGTTAACATTAATGAGAATGAACAACATAAACAAGTAACACTAATATTTTCATTTAAAATATAAACAAGTCTGAAAAAAAAAAATAAGTATAAACCTTTCAACTTACTTCATCTGAGATGAGTACATTCCATAACCACTGGGATGATTTGAAATGTGGCCATTCATCGTGGCTTCCAGAACTGTGATCTGAAAAAAGAAAGGCACATAGACTGAAGGCAATAAAAAGATAATGGCACCTCAGTTTCGAAAAGAGTTATTCATTCAACAAATATGTGTTACTGCCAGAAATTATGATAAGGGTTAGAAAGAGACATAAAATTCTCCACCCTCAAAGAGCTCAGGCTCTGAAGATACATACAGATGGGTATACAAAAAAAGATCCAATGGACATTTAACATTAGTATACTAAAACTGTAATGAGATTTAGGTGAGTTAATGAAAAATCTAAAATATAGTCCCAAAACGTCTAAGCATATAGGCACACTTCCATAGTCTGTCCAAACTCATAACCAATTGTCACTTTTTAAGAAATGTTTTGTTTACTTTTTCATTATAAAGTAATATATAGAGAATCATAAACTTTTTTTTTTTTTTTTTTTTTAAATCTGAGAAATATACAAAAAGTACAATAGGGGAAAATGTCGCCCAGGGTCCTGTCATTAAACGACAGGAGTTTAAAAGTCCTATTCAATCCTTCAAAGCACATATGTCAATATGCTATCCAGACAATCTGAGGTAAACCTATTTTCAATGAAGTGTTCATTTACATATTCCTTTGACTTTTCACAAGGAAAAAATCAGTATCAGACTATAAAATCACTTCAGAAAGTATTTTGTAATCCAGTTCACAAATTTTCTATCAGCAAGATGAATGAGTACATAAGAATTGTTGTTAGGTGTCATCAAGTCATTTCCAACTCAAAGCAAGCCTGCAAGACAAAGAACTGCTCCTTGGGTGTCCCAGACTATAATTTTAGGGAGAGTGCCAGGTCTTTCCCCGACAGAGCAGTTGATGGGTTTAGAGATGCTGGTGGACTCATATTGCTCACAAATCCAACAGCTGTTCTTTCTCTTCCTAGACAACACTGCTACACCTAAGTTCTTTTTATTCCCTCCCTGGGTTCTGTGTCACAAAACTGGATCTTGTTTTATTTTTCTGACTTTGTCTTTTCATCCATTTATATTATCACATCCTCTCAATAACTGAGAGGTGGGCAGGGCATATCCTTACATTATTATAGAGATAAAGAGAAAGAAGGTAAACACAGACGTAACTATTGAGTAACTGTTATGTGTCATGTACCTGTTGGAACTAACAAGGTGAACAAAATATATATTCTACTAGCTATAAGGACAATAGGCTAATAGGAACAACAGACACCTAACAAGTACACTAATTACAATTTGTGGTTACTACTGCAAAGTGGGAGTCCTGGTGTGGTGCTGTGGGCTAATGCGCTGGACTACAAAGTCAATTTGAATTGGAAGGTCGGTGGTGCAAGCTCCCAGCCGCTCCTCAGAAACACTATACAGGGTCACTGTGGGTCAGAACAGCCTAGACTAGACGGCACTTAACAACAACAACTACAAAGTGGGAGTCCAGAAATGGTGCTATAGGATAAGCACTGAATTGCTAACTGCAAGGCTGGTAGTTCAAACCCACCAATTGATCCTTGGAAACCCTATTCAGGGTTGCTATGAGTCAGAATCAATGGATTTGACAGCACCACGAAGAGAAAATCCAGGATGAGATAGGAAGCTACAACAGGGAAATGATTCAGGTTGGCAGGGCGGAGAAAACCTCCTGCTGTCAGTGAATTCTGACTCATAGTGACCCAATCAATACAATAGGGTAGAACTGCTCCTTAGGGTTTCCAAGGCTGTAAATCTTTACAGGAACAGATGGACTCATTTATATGGCTTTGATCAGCTGGTGGGTTTGAACCACTTACCTTTCGGTTAGCAGCCCAATGCCTAGTTCACTGCACCACCAGGGTTCCTAGGACAGAGGAGGTCTACATAAAGAAATGATATTTGAGACCTAATAACTTCAAGTTAATTCTTCTCACTGTTCAGATCTCAGTTTAATCACCAAGTTCCCAGTAAACCATTTGATGACCTCCTTATGGATAAGTTAAAAACCCACTACCAGAGATACTCTTTTTCAAAGTATTTAGCACATTAACAATTTTTCATTTTTAAAAAATAAATACTAACTGTGCACTAGACTCTAAGCTCTGTAACGATAGGAAGTTTTTTTTATGACTATTATAATCATATAATGAGAACAGAGCGTCATAAATAGTACTTTGTTTGTTGTCAGGTGCAGTTCAGTTGATTCTGACTCATAGCAACCCTAATCACAACTGAACAAAACACTGCCTGGTTCATCACCATCCTCACAATTGTCACATTTGAACCCACAGATGCTTCCATTGTGTCAATCCATCTCTTTGGGTGTCCTCCTCTATTTTGCTGACCCTCCATTTTACCAATAATGGTGTCCTTTTCTAGGGACTGGTTCCTCCTGATAACATGTAAAAAGCAAGACAGACTACGTGATGATTAAATATTTATTCAGAGAAAATAAGGAAGGGATGTTCACAGCCTAATCTGCAAGGACTTTACTGTATTCATAAAGAGACTAGATTAATTCATATTAAACAAATTCTAAATGTGTGCAGCTCTATAGACACAGATTCAAGAAGAGAAACGACAAGCATGCCATAACTTTTAAGAACGGTTCAGACTAGACCAAGTTCTTAAGGAATAGATACTGTTTCTAAGGTCCTTAGAAAACTTAAGTTTAATTCCAGATTCCCTGATATTCTTAGTCCATATTTACATACTGATTAGCAGTAACTTTCTAATATTATGAAAAGCAGAAAAAGTGCCTTCTATACCAGATACACAGGAGTCCTGGTGTGGTGCTGTGGGTTAATGCGCTGGACTGTAAGGTTGGTGTAGGCTGTAAGGTCGGTGGCTTAAGATCACCAGCTGCTCCTTGGAAACCCTATACAGGGTCGCTATGGGTCAGAATCGACTTGATGGCACTTAACAACAACAACGACATGCTAGATATACGAGATACAGCTACCACTTGTCTGTTTGTCTTACTGTAGTGGCTTGTGTGTTGCTGTGATGTTGGAAGCTAGTCTACCGGTATTTTAAATACCAGAGGATCAGTCATTGAGGACAGGTTTTAACGGAGCTTCCAGACTAAGACACACTAGGAAGAAGGAGAAGAAGCAGACCACTTCTGAATGGTTAGCCACTGAAAACCTTATGAATAGAACCAGAATACTGTCTGATGTAATGCCAGAAGAGGATCCCCTAACTGGGGAAGAACTGCCTCCTCAAAGGAGAGATGACGTTAGTGATATGGATGGAGCAAAGTTTTCAGGGCCTTCATTTACTGATGAGGCAAAAATCAAAATACGAAAAAGAGACTGCAAACATCCATTAATAAGTGAAAAATGGAAATATGAAGTATGAATCAAAAACAACTGGGAGATGTCAAAAATGAAATAGAATACATAAAGATCAATATCTTACACATAGTGAGCTGAAATGGATTGGCATCAGTCATTTAGAATCAGACAATCATATGGTTTACTAAGAAGAGAATGACAAATTAAAGAGGAATGGCATCATATTCATCTTCAAAATCAGAATTTCAAGATTTATCTAAAAGGAATGAGCTGTCGGTGATAATATCCATATGCCTACAAGGATGATCAGCTAATACGACTATTATTTAAATTTACTCAGCAATCACTAAAACCAATGATGATTAAACTGAAGAATTCTAACAACCTCATCAACCTAAAATTAAGACAAAGAGGAAGGATGTATATTTGGAATATTCAATTTTAATGCTGTACATTGCATGATAGAATTTTGCAAGGCTAATGACTTATTCATTGCAAATACCCTTTTTCAACAACATAAAAGGCAACTATACATATGGACCTCAGAAGATGGAATACACAAGAATCAAACAGACTATATCAGTGGAAAGATAGAGAAACTCAATTATTATCATCCAAAACACAGCTAGGAGCAAACTGGGGAATAGACTATCAATTGTTCATATGCAAGTTCAGGTTGAAGCCAAAGATTAAAACAAGTTCATGAGTATATCCCACCTGAACTTCTACACCATCTAAAGAATAGACTTGACGGATTAGACACTAATGACTAAAGACCAGAGGAATTGTAGGACATTATCAAGAACATCATACAGGAAGAAAGTAGAAGATCATTGAAAAGACCAAAAGGAATGTCAGAAGAGAATATGAAAATTACTCCTGAACTTAGAGATGCTAAAGCAACTGGAAAAATGAGGAAGTAAAAGAGCTGAACAGAAATTTTTAAAGGGTAGCTCTGGAAGACAAAGCTGTGCTATTTATAGTGAAAAAGCGCAAAGACGTGGACTTAGAAAGCCAAAAGGGAAAAATATACTCAGTATTTCTCAAGCTTAACATACTGAAGAAAAAATTCAAGCCTCAACTTGAAATATCAAAGGATTCTATTGGCAAAATACTTCAAATGTATCATCAGGACATATTATCAGGAGGGAACAGTTCATGGAGGAGGACACCAAGCCTAGTAAAGTAGAGGGTCAGAGAAAAACAGGAAGACCCCCAACTAGATGAATTGGCACAATGAAAGCAGCAATGGGCACAAGCAGAACAATTGTGAGGATGGTGCAGGAGTGGGCAGTGGTTTATTCTGTGTGCAAAAGGTTGCTATGAGTTGGAACTAACTCAAAAGTACCTAACAACAATGTGGGCAAAATACTAAACAATTAAGAAAGCATCAAAAGAAGATGTATGGAATACACAGATATACAGAAGGAGTCATAGTACCAAAAACAATTGGTCAATGTTTAGCCATTTCAAGAGGTAGCATATGATCAAGAACTGATGGTGTTCAAGGTAGAAGCCCAAGCTGTACTGAAGGCACTGATGAAAAACAAGGCTCTGGCAATTGATGAAATACTAATTGAAATGTTTCAACTAAGTGATGCAGTGCTAGAGGTGTCCACTCGTCTAGGCCAAGAAATTTGGACGACAACTACCTATATCAACCAATTGGAAGAGATCCATATTTGTGCCCATTCCCAAGAAAGGTGACTGAACAGTGTATGGAAATCATGACGAATATTAATACCACACGCAAGT